TTTATCCCACTAAAGGCTCTGTATGGATAAGAGACCTTGGAGAAAGCCACTTTTCCAAAGTCTCATTTAAGCAGCAGACTTTCTTTCCCCAGCTACATCAGGATATCCATGATGAAAAGAGAGGCAGAAATTCCCCAATGTTTAACCAGGCTTTTCAGCGGGCATGGGGCAGGCAACAAGGACACCCACGAGGGTCTAGGGGAGCCATCTCAGGAGGGCTGAGAGTTTTCCTCACTGTCCCCACCCCACCAAGACATGACAGATATTACTCTGGGAAGCTGTTAATATCACTTTAGAAAACGTACTGCCAAAGCAATAACCAAACTGGGAACCCAGCTGGGAAGAATGTCCCTCAGGGTGCTACCAGATGCATTAGTGTTTCAGAACAGGCTAGGTAAAAAAAAAAAAAGAAGAAAATGCCTGGTTGCCATAGGTACCCCTCAGAAGCAATGTTGGTCCCTCCACAGCTGTCTCTGGAGTCATGGGCAAAACTGCTTATTCCTGTCAGTGCCCTATTTTCCCCCTTTCTGGCCTTGCAAGTCTTTCAGCTCCCCTGTGGAAATCTGCAATGTTTGAGCCACAACTGGGCAGAGATTTTCTCTCTTCTCCCCTTAGTGTTGCCTATCTTGGAAGGTGCCGTAGGGGTCACCCCAGGGGCCTGGGGACACTGCCAGGGGCCTGGGACAGAGAGAAGCGAGGCACAGCTCCTTTGCAAACTGTTCTGCTTCCACCAGGAGGGGGAGGGTGGGAGCTGTCGTTCTGGGTTTACTTTTCATGGAGACAGGAATAGTTCTTGCTCTCCAGAGGTTGCTTTTTGGAGCTTGCATGTGAAGGCAGCACCTTCCCAGCTAAAAAGCCGGAAGCATTTTGCATTTTTTTTAGTTACCTGCTTGCGAAATTTTCCCCTTGTTTCTTTTATGAGGCTGTTTTTATATAAACAGTAAGAAGCCCCGTGTACAGCACCTTACCCTGATCTCCATGGTTTATGAACAGCCAGGGCATAATTAGGGCGCACAAAACATACTATGTACTCACACCGCAGGCATCACCGTTCAGGCTGTGCTGCCGTTGAACAAGGCAAGTCATGAGCTCAGAAAGTGACAAATGATCCCCTGGCCCAAGCTGTCCCTCCAGCCCCAGGTTGTGCTCCAGGGCCTGCAACAGGAGGGTCTATCCTGGGGGCCTGGCTCCTTCTACAGCACCTTCCTCCAGCATCCCCACTTTCTCATCCTATTGTTAGAGGGCGCACCTCTGTCATGCGTTTGCATCCTTGAATTTGCCTAACCTCTTTCTGAACATGCAGATACAGCATCCGTAACCCCTGTGGCACAATGTTCACCACCTGTACCTGCATTGTTTTTTAGTGTTTGCTTTACACTGACCTCCTTTAGCTTTGCATACACCAGACCGGTGAGTGTTTGGTTGCCACCCTGAGTCAAAGGCTAAAAGACCCATCAATGATGTCTCAGCACATTGCAGTGATGGGCTGGCTGCGTCTGGGAGCACAGGTGGGTACCGCAGCCCCCCGTGTCACTGGGCTGTGCTGCTCCTCTGGGTTTCCAGGGTCAGTGCCACCTGGTCCTGGTCACTTATTAACAGCCACTTTATCTATTTGACCTTATATTACCTGTTACCTAGTTACTCCACTTACTTTCCTTTACTCCTGCTACCCCTTTGCTCCATGGTAACTTTTTACTTCAGATTTCTCTGGCTCCTCCAGCTGACCTGCTGCAGTGTCACAGATGTGGGAAGCTCCCCAACAGCTTCAGCTGCAAAAAGAGCCACAGGCAAATCACTGAGCTTTTCTGCTACATCTTCATCATCCCCATCTGCTCTTTTTATACCCTGGTCATCAGCATTCCCACCAATTTCCTAAGCTGCCTTTGTGGCTTTGATATATTTAAAGAGCCTTTCATCAGCAGTTAGAGCATCCTTTTCAAGGCAATTTACTGCTTATTTTTAGCTCTATTTATTTCCTGTTGCATTGTGACCTGACATGTTTTATGGGTTTCCCTGTTCTTATACCACTTTAGGCTTTTAGGGTTGGGTTTAGGTTTTTTTTTCTAGTTTATGCAAAAAAAATCAGTATCTTCAGCTCCCACTCCAAAACCTGAGAGAAATCAATTCAATACTCCTGGGAACCCTTGAGAAGCAAAAGCTGCTTCATCTGCAAACACCAGACACAAGGCTTCAAAACAGAGAGCATTACTGGGCTAAAAAAAAAAGGATGAAGGCTGGGAAACTGGGAAATAATAATACTGACTAATTAAAAAAAAATGATGACCTTGCAGCTGTCAAACTTGACAAGTGTCAGTCCTCCACTACAGGTTAGCAGATAAAAGAGGCAGTGCTAGATATGCCTTGCTTGCCTTTCTGTGTTTGTTGGCCCTGGGCTAACAAACCCTGAGTTTCAAGCAGGATCCTCTGTCTCAGGGTTGTGCTAGAGACCAGTCACCCTCCTGAGCCTGGGATGAAGCCAAGGTGGTTCCCCCCAAAACAGCTAAGGACAGTGATGTTCACTGAGGCATCTGCGTGAATCCCTTCAGCCCTCACCTGAGATTCCCTAAAAGCTCTCTGTACCCATGGTTTCTGTTGGGGAAGCCATTCCTAGAGAGCAGGGGAGCACTTCTTGCTAGAGGAGAGGCTTCTTTTCCCTTACCCATGTTCCTTGATTGGAAGGAGTGCTCTCATTCACCTTGAAAACAGTATCTTACCTTCATTGCTCTTACTTGTTTATGCCTCCAGCCTGGCATGTCACATGCAGGATCTATGTATAAACAGTCTCATAAAGGAAACAAGGTGTGGTTTTCACCAGCAGGCAATCAGAAAAGTGCAAAATGCTTCCTACTTTCAGGCCTGAAGGGTGCTGCCTTTCACATGCAAGTTTGGATGCTGGGTTTTGTTGAGGGGTGTGTGGTTGCAGAGTTTTACATCTTATTTTTGAGCTGGTTTCAGGCATAAGCAGTGCAAATGGCACAGGAGCCAGCAGGTCTGATTAAGCCCATCTTTACCCGACCATCCTGTCATGTTACTGTGGCACAGCTCCTCTGAGATAGCTGCCCAGGCCCAAGCTCTTATCCCACCACTGTCTACAGCACCATACCTCTCCACTGCCACCCCACATCACTTGAGTATGCTCAGGTGTATTCAGTGGCATGGGACTTAAGTAATCCCAATGTATCCATACACGTATGTGCTATAATTACACAAGCTCTGTCCCAGCGCTGTTAATGCTATTTAGTACATCTCCATGCATATGTGCAAAGCAATTACACTCTCCAGTGTAGTTTTTGGACTAGGATAAAAATAAGTGGCAGACTAGAGTGGCACCATCTTCCACCATCCTCTGTGGGTCACAGGCCAGCAGGACATTCTGTGTCTGTGGGGAAAAGATGGATGAGAGACCCCAGGACATGAAATGCGTTTTGACAGTTCTCTGAAGCCTCTTGGCCTAGATGTGGGCATCTTGTCTCTCACACTGACAGATGAGGATAGCATTCAGCTCCTCTTTCTCTGGATTTTGAAGGATGGGCAGCTTGAAACAAAGCATGAGCCAAATGGTGGCAGTTGTAAAACACCACAAAGACTTATTTTCCATGATCACATTTCCAGCAGAATTACGTGTTGCTAATAGCCAAACAGAAGAGAAATATCTGAAAGTTTGTCTTCTCAGTACAGAATTCCAGTCCAGATAAAATAGCTGTAACTGCCTTTGAAATGCCAGAGTAGTATGGTTACATCAGGATCTGATAGCCCCTCCCCACCACAGGCTAAATGAGACCCGATTGCAGTTGCAGAAGTTAGCTTTGAGCTAAAGCAATGAAAATTCCTATGCGGTTAAATGACACAAGCACCTAACCCTTTTTGCTCCTTTTATTACCAGTGATAGCAAATAATCTAAGTATCACATCCTCAATAAAGTTTTGCTGCATTAAAGTTTCGCTGCATTAAAGTTTCATTTACTGTTGAGCTTTCAGCTGCACTTCCAACTGCTATTGGTTGGTTTGCGGAAGAATAAGAGATAACACGTAATAGTCTTTCCATGGGCCTCTGCAGCAGGCTACTGTTACATGTATTTTGAGGATCCTCTGCACTAAGCTGATAGAACCTGGCAATTAACTTCAATGAAAGACCATGACGTATGGGCTTTTTATTGATAAAGAAAAAATCTATTAGAATCCATGTAACCCTGAGTTTCAGTCTGCTGTATTAAGTAGGGTAGGAGCAGGTATCTAAGCAATAGCAGCTGGCTGAACCAAGTAAATCTACACTGAGCTTTGTGACTCTTTTTTTGCCATTTGTTCTGCCTGTATCCTACCCATTTTTCAACTGGAAGAAAGAAACAGTGAAAACCCAGGAAAACAACAGAACTAAAGTTACACCTTTTCTCACCAGGCTACTTCTGAGCTACTGTCCATTGCAGGCAGTTCAGAGAGAGTGGGGTCTATCTTCCTTTGCTAGAGAAGCCACATGAGAAAGATCAGGATTGGTTAGTTCTTATTTTTCAACTGCATAGCTGGTGAGTGGGAACCCTGGTTTTGATCACCAAGAACACTGGAATAACCCATCTGCATGCACATCCTGGTAACTTCTTCAGCCGCACACAGTGTTTTCTACCACTGGCCCCAGATTTGTCATTTAAGATGAAAGACACTTCCTTTTTAGCTGTGTGACATTAACAGACCCATACACACAAAGCTGCCATCACAGAGAGCAGCTTGGCCAGCATTTTCAAAGCTGACCAAGTTGCACTAAGTACCCAGTTCCAATCAAAAAATAATTACAGAAAAATGGTGCCAGCCTTAAAACACTGAACACTTTAACTTCGTTAATATCTAACATTATTTCTGATCAGAAGCTCTGACTGAAAGCTGGGTGCTGATGAAACCAGTCTGTGCACACTTGCATCTAAACCCTGCACAAGTTGTAACATAAAACAGTCTCTGGAATTATAAAATACCCCACTTACACCACAGGGAAGCAATATAAAAAAGCCTTGGTACTGTGAAACTATAATGTTTAATAAGAAAAATTTTAATAGGAAAAGTTAAAAACCAAACCACAAAATATAACATGGAATTAAGTGATGCTGTAAATGGGTTTAACCTTTAAATATATGTAGATATTTGTGCATGTATATATTATGTATATATTCACAGAAATGTTAATGCTAGTCAGTGGATAATTCATACTCAGTGAAGTATGATAAAATGCAGATTCTTTTACAGATTTATTGAGTGTGACTAAGAAATTAAAAAAAAAAAAAAGAAAAAAAAGCCCCTCAAACAAAATCATTTAATGAAAACACAAAAAGTCTAAGCAAAAAAATGCTAACACTTTCCACAGGAACTGAGAATGTAAAATCAATGTGGTTGTGCAAGACGAAGAACAATAGTGTTTGTTTGAAGATATTGTTTCTTGTCATTGTATTGGGAAGAATGGCTGTGTAAAAGACCAGACAAGTACCATTGTTTCTCACAACACATGTCAGCAGAGATCTGAACAGAATGCTTTCAGGTAGGAAATTTTAGGGGGTTGAGGAGGGGGAAAAGACTGTATCTGATGTAGTATAAAGAAAAAGGTTAGGTTCTCATGAAGAACAGTTTTGATCTTCCCAAAGCCATGCAGGCTGCCTCTAGCTGAAATGAGTGAGCACAAATGCAGGCAAAGATCAGGGTGATGACATTTTCAATACCACACACATATTGCCTGGACCATCTTCCAGGAGAACTGAAAAACAGCAGGTTAAACCCCTGGTATCTTGTCTACCCTCACTTCCCTGCCATTGCACTGGCCTGAAAGAATTTTGGTGTTCACTGGAGCCCCCTAATTCTTGTGAAAGTCATTGTCTTCCTCCTACCCTCTGCTTCGTTTTTCTGTTATTTCAGAGAGTTGTCCATGATCCCTTTCAAGGAGGGGTTTTCCTTTAGAAAATCTTCAGAGAAGCTGGGGCTGTAGATTTTGTTGTCTCTTGTGCTGAAGTATCTGCATTGGTGAGAGGCTGTGAAACGATTTGGTCTGCCCCATTGCTGTGGTGGTCATCCATCTTTATACCGATCTTGTCACTTAATATTTGCTCTGCATCCTAAAGCCCTCATGCTCCCGTGATATTTCATACTGAAAAGAATTTGGACAAGAAAAGAAAGAAATAAAGAGTAACTCTGGGTCAGAAAGCTCCTTTCTCAGAATAGCTCAGCATGTAGCTCACTGCACATGATAGCCCTCTCTCTGTGACGCACCAGCTCTCAAGGACTACCAAAGAGGCAGATTTTCGTCAGTGAAAAGTTGACATCTTTGGAAAGCTAGAAATGCTAAAATTCATGTGAATCTGATCAATCAACTAACTAAATAGATGTTTTTCTTCTCTTAATTGGCAGCTTTTTAAAAGGTGGGTTGGTTTTTTTTTAACATCAGGTTTCCCTTGGAGTACTGTGTACAGTTCTGGTGTCCTCAACATAAAAAGGACATGGAACTGTTGGAACAAGTCCAGAGGAGGGCCATGAGGGTGGTTCGGGGGCTGGAGCACCTCCCGTATGAAGACAGGCTGAGAAAGTTGGGGCTGTTCAGCCTGGAGAAGAAAAGGCTGCGTGGAGACCTCATAGCAGCCTTCCAGTATCTGAAGGGGGCCTATAGGTATGCTGGGGAGGGACTCTTCACTAGGGACTGTAGTGACAGGACAAGGGATAATGGGCTCAAAATTAAGCAGGGGAAGTTTAGATTGGATGTAAGGAAGAAGTTCTTTACTGTGAGGGTGGTGAGGCACTGGAATGGGTTGCCCAGGGAGGTTGTGAATGCTCCATCCCTGGCGGTTTTCCAGGCCGGGTTGGACAAAGCCTTGGGTGGTATGGTTTAGTGTGAGGTGTCCCTGCTCATGGCAGGGGGGTTGGAACTAGATGATTTTAAGGTCCTTTCCAACCCTAACTATTCTATGATCCTATGATTCTATGATGGTTTAGGCCTCAATTCTACAAATTGAATTTAAAACAATTTAAAACAATTAAACAGTTTTTCTTCTCTAAACAGGAGTAGATTTTTGCACCATAGAGGTGGAGTTAAAATGTCATTTAAAATGGGACAATGTTTTTCCCATTTACTTGACACATGTAGAATCCAGCAAATCAATCATATCGCAGCATAGCACTTCTCAAGACCCTGCTCCTTCAGCAGCAACCTTGCAGAGTTCAAAGATAAAACAGGCAGGTTTTGTTCAGAACATATGGTCCAGCTAATGACACACCTCTGCTGAACAGACTGCCCTGGGCTGTATCAGTGCAACAGCTGTGCTAGCTTTTTCATGGCACTTCAGCCCTTTGCAATGCTGCAGCAACCGTAGAGGTTCTTGCTGTAAAATAGGCAGCAGCAGAGTGGGTGGGAGAACACCCAACCTCTGGGCAGCTCTGCCAACTTAAGCTGACTCTAAATCTTGCATGAGATTGCAACCAGGAAGTGCCACTGCAGCACCTATTGACGCTACAACTGGCTTAAAAGAAGCACAGGTTGAAACAGCCTGTGATGCTTGCATGTGCACCTGTGCTGAAGAATGTGTTCAGTCAATGCAGAGGGACGGTTTAGAACACAGCAGACCATTTGGTAGCCAAACTGTTGCTTTAACCCTTGCTTTTCACGTATTCCTCCTGAGACTCAAGGATGACTATTGGGGCTCTAGAAAGATCTTCATAAAATGAGTGCAGATCTCTGTATTAAGGGATTTATTTTTCAGCTTCAGCTGGGTCCTTCATACCACTTTGGCCTTCTAGATCAAGGGAGGATGGACAGAGTGGGTTTAGGTTCCAATAATGTCTGTAGCCCACAGTGTTACAGTTCAGGAGCACAATTCCTGTAGGCCTGTGCGAAACACTTACCAAATCATCATGTTGACCTCTGTTTGTTGAACGCATCTCATACGGGTTGTTTGGCTGATACCCTGGGTTCACATGGCCAGAAGTGGTCTGGACTCGGGGGAACATCCTGGTCTGTCCATCAGCATAGGTATTTGAGTTGGAATATCCTGACTTTATCAGTCTTTTCTGCTCTGGATCTTGCCTGTGTTTGTTTCTTCAGAGGAAACAAAAGAACAAGGGAGGTTTTAAGACCTTTTAGTATGCCTCACTTATTGAGTAAGTCTAACTTCTTGAATTTTCCACTCCCACCTTAATTTGAATGTCCAGTCCTGTTCTGAAACCTGAAACATTTTTCTAGCATACCTATTGCAAAACCCTTGTTATCAATGGCAGAGTACAAAGTTTGGCATCTCTTATCACAGATGGGGCTAATCTACCAGGAGGGACAGAGGGGTACTTTGACCTCTTTCATCTGGTTCCGAGGGTGAAGAGGTTTCCTTCACCACCCCTAGCTCTAACTGACAATTCAGAGAAAGAAATGAGGCATTCCTTAGGCCGAGTTAAAAAAAAGTTGCCCTCATGCCTGCAGCCAACACTGGACACTCAAATGATACATTTGAATTGTCTATGATCACAAATCCATACATTGCACACAGTCTTGTAGGCACGTTTATGTGGGCAGCACTGAGGAACTGCTTGAGTATTTCTGTATTTATGGTATGCAACATAGTATTTCTATATTTATCATATGCAACATAGTATTTCTATATTTATTGTATGGAGGGAAATGAAGAAGTGCAACTGCAATTGGGAATTTGCCAGTACACCAGGAATAGCAAGCTTTAAAGAGATTCTTGACTGGAAATGTCACCTGTATTGAACTGAACAGGGCATGCCAGGCCTTGAGCTGCAGTGCTAGCTAGCAGGGAAAGCTACAGAGGGTCTGAATTTGGGCCCCACGGCTTTCTGGTATCAACATCTTTCTTCAGTCTTATCTAGATGCCATATCAATACTGGCTAGGGCAGGATTGGGATTAATGTGTTAAGGCGTATATTTTGAAGACTTCGCTGAAGCTTTTATAGTTGATTTCACAGCAAGAAAATAAATAAATACTTCTGGGAAGATCACACAGGCAAAACCAAATTCTAATGGCTACATGACTTAAATGAACTTGTCTGCCCAACTACGCATGCAACCACATTCACAGCCACGGCCCTCTAAATTTTTCCTTAGTTCTCTACAAACATGCAGCAATGCATCTTCTATTCAACTGTAAGAAATACTCTTACCTTGCTGAAATAATAGAGACTGCTATCAGCAAAATCAGGATTATGGCTCCAAGCACTGTACCCACTATTATAAGGATGAGTTCTGTACCTGGGAAGAGAAAAACAAACCACCAAACCAAACAAGAAACATTAACTGAAATCTCACGGTAAATATTGAAAATTACGTCTTTGCCCTGTCATCTTACTACGAGGTGGAGTGGTAGAGGAAAGAAAGGGGGGCAGGGGGAGGAAAGGAGGGTGAGAGGAATGAAGAGAGGAAGTGAGAGAGAGAGGGGGAAGGATGGAAAGGAGAGAGGGAAGCAGGCAGGCAGGCAGGAAGTTTATTATTAGCGTGTCCAAAATTTGTGTTTAAATTCACAGTGTGTTGATTTTGTGCTGATTAGCTTTTTCATTTGCTTTATAAAAAAGGCCTTAAAATTCCCCAAATTTCACTAGAAAGGGATGTTCTATGTGACAAAAAAGTGTCTTTCCTTCCAAACATTTACACCTGGTAAGATTCACCGTGCTGCACTAAAACTTCCATTCACCAATCTCCAACCTCTCAAGCAAAACCAGAAGAAAACCCTTGAAAATCTCATAGCCATGGAAACAGGCATGTTAAACATGGATAATTTAAGATTGGAACAGTGTGAGACTCCAAAGGGCCACATAGGTAAACCGTCTGCTCAAATAAAGCCAAAGGAAGTGTGAGAAGTGAAGAACCATAATTACTTGTTTTTTAACCTTCCTTCAACTGTATTAGATGTTCTGAGTTTAGGCACATGCCAACAATAGAAGACATGAATAATGTCCTCATCTAAACTATATGATGGTGGAAACTGGCAAAGTTGAAGCAATCACCTGCAAAACTAACTCAGAAAAGGGAGAAAGTTTTGGAAGGTCCATCTGATTAGCTTTTTCAGATGGCTACAATTATGAGATAACAGAGAGTCATCATCTCTTCACTGGTATAAAGTACTAGATACTATGCAGTGCTTGCAAGGTAAAGAACAAGCAAGAACCAGTGGCTAGATATTAAAGCAGAAATATTTCAAATAAGAGTAATCCACTGACTTTTTAGTAAAGACGGCAATTAACTACACGACAAACAAATCTATTGGTGCTGAGTTCAGCATTGCATGTCTTTAGATGAGGACTAAATGTTTTTCTGTTAAATAACCTGTGTTTGTTAGACTTAAAACTACTGGGCTTAATGCAGAGGTCTTAGAGAAAATGCTACTGTCTGCTTGAACATGAGTTTCAAGAGGATTTTTACTTCCAGGCAACAGTGGAATTTCACTCATTTTTTCTAACATTTTCCAGCTATCAATACAGCATGGTGGCAACCTTAATAGGGGATAGTGGCACATTCATTGCAGGCACATCTCAGGCAGATTAAACACTACCAGGTTTTATTCCATGCTATAACTTAAAATCAGACATTCTTGTACTTACTGTCCTTGCAGTCCTCCCCAGAGTAGCCCACTGGACAGCTACATGAGAGCAAAAAGAAAAAAGGGGAAAGAAAAGAAAGTTAACATCATCAAGCAGATGGTCTTTAAGGTCCTTTCTAATACAAACCATTCTATAATCACAAAACAATAGCGTAATTCCACATTTTATAAGCAATTTCTCCACAAGGTGTGTTTGTTACAGTTTCCTTTTTAATGCTATCTTTATATTGAATTCTTTAGTTTCATTGTTAGAGTAAAACAGCCTGATATTTTCAGAATGACTGGTGAGCTGCATACTCAAAGTTTTGGGTTCTTAGCCTGAAAAATGTCAAAAGGGCCTAATTTTTCCTGAGAACTAACCACTACATCTCTGAGTCACTTGGAATTCCTACTCACAGTCTTTAACAAAAGTGTCAATACAAGGTTTATAAGGACTGGCAGGTCTTAACCTTCCTCCCTTACTAGTTTCTCAGATTTAAAATACATTGACTTTACAGTAAGAAGCGTTCAGTGTGTAGCAGCAATAACTACAGAAAGAGCTGAATTAATGGATATGGGGAGTAAGGTCCATCTGCTTATCCACGAGAGCAGAGCACAACCAGTCACTTATTCAGCTTCACCAGCAAACAATAATGCTCTGTTCTGATCCTGAGCTAACAGAAATTCCTACAGAGAGAAAACCAAACCAAAATAACATAGGTCTGAAAGTTACTGGGAAAGAGAGTCCCCTCTGATATCAGTGGAAACTGCCCAGGGATTTGGAGTAAGTCTTGCTTAATGCCTGTTGCTTACTAAATGTTTCAACATACCAGTTCCTATGGCTCAGTTACTCTGAAGGAGTATATCTCGGTTTCAGCTGGGATAGTGTTAATTTTCTTCCTAGTAGTTGCTGCAGTGCTATGTTTTGGCTTTAGCCTGAGAATAATGTTGATAACACGCTGATGGTTTAGTTGTTGCTAAACAGTGCTGACCCTAAGTTAAGGACTTTTCAATCTCTCGTGTTCTTCCATTGAGGAATTGCACAAGAAGCCAGGAGGGAACACAGCCAGGACACCTGATCCAAACTAGCACAAGGGGTATTCCATACCACAGCACATCATGCTCAGTGTATAAACTGGGGGGCAGTTGGCTGGAGGCACTGATCGTTGCTCACAGGCAGGCTGAGCATGGTCCAGTGGGTGGTGACCAATTGTATCCTGTATCACTGTTGTTTTGGGGGGTTTATTTCTTTCTCTTCTTGTTGTCTCACTTTTTGTTACTTTTTTTTTTTTAATTATTAAACATTTTCCAGCTGGGGTTAAACCACAACAGAATAATTCATGTTTATGTGGGCAACCCTCAAAATAAGCATAAAGTAGCTTATCCTCTTCACTGGCTCACAGATGACCTTGAATTTCCTTGAATTTCCCCTGAAGTATTATGAATGCACACCAACAGCTAATGCTGAGCAGTTAAAATGACCTATCTTGTGACATTATGGGCATTTGTCCACCTGCTAAGGCACCTCTCTGATTCACATAGCTGCAGCCTGTTTTTCAAGATTGAGGGTGAGCCCATGTTAGATGTTCTTTTTGCCTATCTTTGCCTAAAACAGAGGAACACAAGAAAAAAACTGACTACTCACGGTACACAGCTATCATTCTTCTTTTTAAAGTTAGCCATGCATTTGCATGTTGGAACCGCTCCTACTCTTTCACAGTACTTGTTTTGTTCTGAAGAACAGCTTTCACTGCAGTCTGTATTTTCAGAGGGAAAAAATACCAAGTGAATTGAAGGTAGCCCTCCCAAAAATGAACATTGGAGATCTCTCCCCTTCCACCTTTTTTTTTTTTTAGTTGTACTGTAAACACACACAACTTTATTGCACTTCAAAGCACCAAAATGGCTTTTTTTAGGGCTATACCTGTGTAGAACAGAAAATGAAATACAAAAGCACAAAATTAGAAGCAAACGGTCTCTGTTTAAAACCGTAACTCCATCCACAGGCAACAATGACCTGCAATTTGATGTCACAGCAGATGAGTTGTATTGCAATTGATCTAAAACTGGATGAGATTCAGACAGGTTAGGGTCCGCAAGGGCCTACAATGGGCCACACTTACGCTGGGTCACATCTCACTGGACTTTACTGTAGTCAACTTTCATGATTTAATCATGAGTGTTTGCGACATTTGTTGTTTTCCCCAAAATCTCATATCTCACACTTTTTTTCTGTAGTGTTATAATTTTAGTTTTCATGAGAAGAAAATAAGGTACATCTCAGGTCTGTAGAAATATAACCACAGTACTCATTAAAAGATTCAAAAAAGCAAGTAAATAAAATCCCCAAAACTAACAGTTCCTAAAAATCACATAAACCATTCTTCCCACAAAAACCCAGATAAATACAGATAATGCCATTTTATAACTACAAAAAAGGGACAGAGCTTTAAGAGATCATGTAGTCAATTGTGAGACTTCCAGTTCTGTCAGAGTCCCCACAGCTGCCTCCGTGTAACACCTAGAATTTATTCCCAAAATGTGTCCTGGCAGAGAAGGCTGTAAATATTGGATTCAATTTAAATAATTCAATTTTAGATGATAAAGTGGTTTGGGTTGAAAGGGACCTTAAAGATCATCTAGTACCAACCCCCCTGCCACGGGCTGGGACACCTTTCACTAGATGAGGTTGCTCAAAGCTCCATTCAACTTCACCTTGAACACTACCAGGGATGTGGCATTTTTCCATCCTTTACCTACTTAACTTTTGGTTCCTACCAAGAGTTTAAGAATGCATTTAATGAGTTGCCTACTCCCTGGTTTCAATGATAATTTTATCAGGCTTTAGTACTTTATTCTACTAGAACAGAATTATGGGTGTGTTTAAAGTGAAACATGAGAATGTGTTTCTATGATTTTTCTCAAAAAGACAAACATTCTCTAATTTTTAGAGGTTAGCACATTTGCAGAGCACCCTTTTCAAAAAGGGACTGAGACAGGGAATAACAAGGTCAGCCTTCCAGGAATAGATAAAGTAGCCAGGTTCTTACCTGAACAAGAACGTTCATCCCATTCTGTCTTTGCAAAATCATCCTGACATAAGCATTCTGGATACATAGCGTCTTTGCAGTATGTGGTTTGAGTATCACATTTAAAAGCATCACAGTATGATGCACCTTTAAAAGAGAAACAGTCAGGAAGCAAACCTGAGTACTATTAGTGTGATTTCACAGAAGGGAGTGCACTTGCTCAGTAAATCATAAACCAATTATTTAGTAAGTTAAAAAAAAACACCCAACTGCAAGTCCTTTTTTTGGGAACATCAGTATCACAGGTATTTGGAGCAGTCTTTTCCCTAGCTCTTTACAAGTTAATGTCCTATTTCCATCACATCTTCTGACGTTCTGTTTGCCAGCATTCTACAACTGCCTCCAAACCTTCAGATCTCCCAGTCCACCACACAGGAAATTCTACCTATAAGTTCATATTCTGAACTCTGACTTTCTGACTTACCTTAAATCAACTGTAGAAAAAACCCAGCACTTATCTTTCTGTGACTGAACTGTGAGTCCATACCCCGTGCAGTTCTACATAGATATGAGTATTTACAGGCATGCAGCTCATTTCATTACCCATATTAGTATGCTGTTTGACCAACATGTGGCTATTTAGATCCATGTCCCAGTGGTGGGAATGGTTTACAAACCTCAGTGGGTGGAATACAGTGGAGGGAATACAGTGGACAGATGTGATTGTCTTGGTGCTTTTTTTTTTTTTTTCTATTTCCCTCTCAAGTTTAGGATCAACACATAGGAAATGTCATGGTTGAAGTGGATGCAGTCACTTTTAGAGACCAAACTCAGGCTATAAGCCAGGAAATGGACTCCTTTAATCATTAGCTGCGCCTTTCACAAAAGCTGATTTCAAAATACGAATATATTTAAAAAAAAATTAAAAAAATCAGTATTTCATTTAGAAAATCGTTCTCCAAGTATTACACTTTTAGTGATGTAAGACTTCACAGGTTTAGAGCAATGAATCACTTAGTTCTGTAGCTAATCAGTGAGGCCTCGCTTCAATTACTATAGTTAATTATGGAAGAAGTAATCCAAAGAGAGTTTCATCCTATTTTGCCAGTAAAATACTGGCTTATTCTCAGAAGCACAATACATGTATATATTTAGTCCTGATTTTTCCAGCCGCTTAACACTCAGCAGGTTAAAATCAACATGCAACTTGGGAATGAGTATTTTCTTTTTTTTTTCTTCATACAGGAAGTAGAAAGCCTTAACAAGCAAAAAAAAGCCCAGCATTGAATGGTTGAGCCTTCAAAATTCCCTAAGATTGAACATTCAGCTCCTTAAAATCAACAAGGCTTGTGCCCTGATGAGCTTTGATGAGCACACTGAAATGTTCTAACCAGCTTTAAAGACAGGAATCTCTGTTTCTGCCAATTATTTACTTCACAGTAAAGAATTACATACCTCTGTATGCAGAGACGTAGTTCGATTCATTTATTTCAGCATATATTGCATTAGTAACTGTTACATTGGTTACATTTGAGTTGTCCTTAAACAGGTTTGTCACTGTTACACTCACTTGAGAAGCAGCTCTGCTTTCTGTCTGAATCTGTCTGAAAAGTACAGGTAACACAATTTTAAAGTCTTACCTATAGGGACAGCAAGCTACATGCAAACACAACAGAAGACTTCCGCCAAGCCTTCTTTTCTCCCCTAGCTTCTTTCATCCCAAAATGTAGGTAGATGCTAGCTGGATTGGGTTCAGCCGGAGAACATCAAATGCACAATGAGATGCAATGGTCTTCTATAATGAGGATATTTCTTCAATTAAATTGGGACTCCAAGTTGGGCCTGTTCACTTAACTGTCACAATTGCAGAGCCATGTTAGATATCACAGGGAATGCTAGTTATAGCACAGTGCAATATTCAGTGTGCTAAAAGTGGAACATCCACTGCTGAGCTGTTTCAGCCAGCACACTTCACAGATGTATGGGAAATCCATGGGGTAAAAATAGGGCCAGCATCCCAGGAACTTTAAAACTACGAAAAGAACAGGAGGCATACTGAACTGAACTCATCCCATATTCTTTCTTGAACTAGGTACTCTGTGGAAAACAGATTAAAATAGGGTGTGTAGGAAGCTAAGTGTGCTAAAAGCTAACTTACTGAATTTCCACGATGACAGTCTCTGCAAAGCCATCTAAATCTTTGAAGGCAGCCTTAAACTGTAAGTAAGAACAGTAAATGTACTGGAGTTAAAGGCAAGCAGAAACATAGACCAAAATCATATAAAACACTTAGGCTTCAGCTGTAAAGTTTTAATCCAGAGCATGATACTATCATTACAAATAAAGCAAGCTGGTCTGTAACATCCACTGTGCAAGGTATAGCAGAAAAGGCGCAGTGGGGTGGTGATGCAGAACAGGAAATACAGGAGAGCAGTTGAGGGATGAAGAGACATGAGTTGGATGGATGTCAGGCAGTGCACTAGAGTTGACTGGCTGGTTAGCTACAGATACTCCCTTGCAGAGCCATTACTTAGAAGGTTATCTCTGTGATACCAACCTATGAATAAGTAAAGGGAAGAGGGAGAAGTAGACATCCTTACAGATGCTGTGTGTCCCTTAGATGTAGTGAAGTGGGATCATGAGGGGTTGATCTTGATCAGGGGAGAAGCACAGCACTGATGAAATCACTGGGGGTTGGATAGGGTCAGGAGAAAAGTCACTCTTCTACCCCATCCCTTGTGAAGCAGGGAACAACTGGTCCAACAACTTTTGTGGCAGCTGCCTCCAACTGCCACACAAGCAGAAGGCACAGTGAGAAAATTATAAGATATCTAAGACAACTGAAATGAAAGATAAATTATCCTTCTTTTTAATAAAATAAAAACTCTTTCCTATGCTATTTTCACTTTTGCATACTATTACATATCTGTTCTAGTGCTGCAGATAGTGCACTTCTGTAGACATGTCATGAAAAAATGTTGGACAAAAAGGCTGATGAAAATCTTCTTTTAACATTCTGGAGGGACAATTTTTGATTGCTTCCTGATAAAACATTCATAGCAAGCAACAGAATATCATGAAGAATTTGATAATCATTTTTTATGAATTGTGATTAATATTTGGTGAATATTTTTTGAGCAGCTGTCTGGTAGAGACATACCTCTTCTTTCTTACTTCCATAAATGAATACACTTGTTTCAATGTGGCAATATAAATTTATCCAGGAAATCACAGAATCACAGAATCCCAAGGGTTGGAAGGGACCTCAAGAGATCATCTAGTCCAACCCCCCTGCAAGAGCAGGGTAACCAGACTTTATCCATGATAATAGAATGCTCAAAATTTGTAATATCCGTTTCACTAATAGCATTAAAATTATAATACTGGTATGCTTATGGAAAAGGTTTATTATTTAGGTATTTAGACACAGCTGGACAGCCATTCTGAAAAGTCTGTGCTATGTGGAAACAATTGTTGGGTTTTTTTTAAAGAGGTTCATTTTTACTCATACCACTGAGTATTACTGAGCCCTCAACAAGCAGCTGAGATCAGAAACTAAATGCACAGCAAAGTTTTGCTCAGCCCCATGGTTTCTGGAGCAGGAATGGTGAAAGATACAGAGCAATTTATGTGAGAACTTCCCAGAATAGAAGTGGCACTTAAAATGCAGATCTTACTTATTTCAGGTATGTATCTTCATTTCATCAAGAGCCATGCATGTACTAATCTGAGGGCAAAATTCAAGTCTTTTATGAATAGCTCAGGTAAGAAATTCTAGGCTCCACACTACAGGCAGAGTGTATTCCCTCTGTATGCATGACATTCAGGGTGGATTACATACACAGAAAAAAAATCCCCAAACATTGTTACTCACCAACATTGTTATATTTTTGAACACCTCTTCATATTCCAGAGAATTTACAGTTTGAACACTGCTACTGTAAGATCCTGTCAGTGTAATGACACCTGGGAATACTTTTCCTGGAATGAGAACAGAGACTATTAATTAATTGCAAGGCATTCAAGCAAGTTCGGTTCACCTTAGAGTTCTCCAATCTTCAGAGATTGGGAAATACAATGCAGAAATCAATCAGTGTTATTTTTCATATGCTGCAGGAATCAGTAGCAGACAAATGTTTGCTCAATCAATTCAGCCACAATGGGCGACATACTCTGACTACCTGGGAAGCGGGGAGGATACTGTTCTCAGCCAGACTGGCCGGGGCTATGAATAATGTTAAACTGTAAGCATGACCTGGAGTTAACAAAAGGTGTTATAGCATTCAGTGAGAAAATACCCATATTAAAAACTCCAAATTTGCAGCCACTAAGCAGCTAATGTGTTCACCATGTCTGAGAAAGCAATACAGTGTCTAAGTGCTTCTCTAGGCTCACAAGTCACCCTGACAATTCTGCTTGTTGGCACTTAAATAAGCCCTATTTGCTCACACACTTGGCCTTCAGCAGCATCTCAGAGCAGAGATGCCTTTCAACAAAACTGTGATGAATGTTTAGCAATAGAGAAAATCAAGCCGGTTATTCAGAAGTCTTCATGGGTTTGGGTATTTTTAAACCCTAACCATTAATATTTGATGTCAGGTTTATACTTTCATTTTCCCCTGCTTTTCACTCATTTTAATCTCCAGCTCCCCCAACAGAGAACTTGCCTCTTTTCTTAGCACATTAACCTCTTTGTCTCTTACTGTTTTGTGAGATAATGATCTAGGTCATTGTAGCAGTGGCTGTCTGCAAAGCAAGGCATCATTCAGCAGTCACTTTCCCAGAGTGATTATGTTTTCAATTACAACATGAGAACAAAGGATATGGGAAATAAAATTCACCTGAGCAGTTATCTGTGAAGTAAATAAAAATATAGATTGCCTTTCTGCAACTCACCTGCATGACAATTCCTATTGCTATAGTAGAATCCATATTGGCACTGGCAGGTATAATTGCTATGTAAAGCAACACAACTAGCCAATTTTTCTCCACAAGGGTATGAGCTGCAGAAGTCCGTTGCTACAAAGATGAAAAATATCAGGATTTCTATGAAATTGCAATAGCCAGCTCATATACAAAGTAGATCATACATGAAAGGGTTCATATCTACTTCTACTAAAGCAAACTACCAAGAATATTTTTATAGAGTATAGGTGCAATTAAAGAGCACATGGCTATGTTTTGCGTGCTTGGTGTCTTAGAGTAAGCATTTTCTATACACAATCCATCAGGATACCACCGTGAGGACAGAGAGTAAGGCTGAAATTCATTATCTCTCATACTAAGCATTCACCATTTAACTCTACTTAATACTAAGCCCAAAAAAAATGTATATCAAGGGTTGCCAAAATAAGTAACTAAGAGAAAAAGTTGGACTACAATGGCGTGTCTTTAATCGTGCACTGGTATGCATTTGCCTTGTTAAAATAAAGTGTCATTGTAGTGTCCTTCAGACACATTAATAAAATGAAAGCTCCTAAGTTAATCATCATAGTATGCATACCTAAATAGATACCAGAGTATGCTGCTATGACATTTGTTGCAGGGCTTACAACTGTCATCTTATAACTAATTATATTAACTGGCCACTATACCATACTTCTTCGGCAGTTAAACTTCACAGATTTGTGCTGATTGCTGCCTTTTACTTACTTGCTGGCGTTGCTATTGAAGACGATGTTGGGCTTGTGCCTGGAAAGGGGAAAATAGTATGTCAGCCGTGTTAGTGTCTTGTTACACTGAGGCCATTGAACACAGCATGGTATGATGCCTCTAAACCTTTCCTGGATCCACTTCCACCTTGCCCTGCACTCTAGTCAGCGCCTTGCCCTCATTTCCTGCAACCTGTTGCTCAGTGTGATTTACCCTGCATGTCTGCCTGTGATATCTTTTCCCTGGCAACCTCTCTCTTCACTTAATTTGCCCTCTCCCGGCAAATTTTCTTTGTCTGAAAGTTCTGCAGGCTCTGCATATCTCTCCTTCTCCCCTAGAGCCAGGTTATCCATTGCTACCCAAGGCTAGGGCAAGGTTCTTTTTTCCACCATCACAGCATCTTAACTGTACCTGGAGTATCCTGTAGCTCATGACTCTGTCCTGAGATAACCTAGGTCCTCTTAAAGACTTAGAAGATCAGTAACACTACAGGAAAAGGTCTAGTTAAACCTTCCTTGAAAATCAACCTGAGAGAGCCCAGCCTAGAAACATGCACAGCAGTAAGAAACAGAAAACTCATAGAAATATGAGATAAGCAAATACACCAGAAGAGAGATTTAGCAAGCAAAGGGACACTGAAATAATGACAAATATTTAAATTTATTTTTCATACCATAGAGTCTTTGCCTAAAATACAATCACACAATTTCTAAGTAATTACATACTATGTAAGGATTTTAAACTATGTATTTCAGCAGTATACATAGTTTATTAGTTTAAAAATAATTGAAATTTATCCAAATCCTGTGGAGACTGCAGTCCTCCCTGGGACTGGGTCACTGCAATCCTGACCTCAGAAGGGGCTGACTGGTCATTTTGGCTCCTTACCTTCACTTCCTGGGTTGTCAATGTTGTTGTCTCAGCAATTGTATCGTTATATCCTCATAAAAAGGAGATGGGAGCACTGGCTAGTGTTTTGTGTTAGGAAAATCTGGGGTGACTTTGCAGACAGCAGGCAGGCACGATGGAGCAAGAAGGCACTAGCAGGAGGGACATGGTCATCCGAGCCCACCACAGAGGCCAAGCTGAGGGGAGCTGTGAGAAGGCTTCCCCTCCTGACAGTGACCCAACAGGATGTATGACTCACCTACATAAGGCACCCAGAACAACATTGGCACAGGCAGCTTAGCAAGTAATATCCCCCGACATAGCCACTCACACTCAGCCTCATGCTGGTGTTTTCCTCCATTTCCATGCTCCAAAAACCCCAGGAGCAATTCCCTGCAAGGACCAGTCTCAGCCTTGCTCTGCGCACCTCCTCTGCAGGAGCCTCCTGCACACAGGACTGGTGCATGAAGAAAAAGCACAAGGCAGGAAAGGAGCAGCTACTTCAAATCAAAGACTGATGTGCCTGTAGTCCCTTCTCCCCCAGATCGCAGGGTTTGAGCACGTCCCAACACAGGCACTGTATTGTGCCAGCTCAACTGCACTCGCTGGACACAGCTGTCTCAGCCATTGGCACGTGTGTGACTCCATGCAGTAAACCTATGTCCACCTGCCCAGGTTGCAGCCCAGAGCCAGGACCAACTGCCAGAGCAGGCTGAGTGGTGCCATTAGGCTGCAGATACCCAGCAGAGCCTCTGCTCCCATTGGTGTTCTTATCCCCAGGATCATTTGGGTGAAAAGAGGAAGCTGTTCTGTGGGAGCAGCATTCAGGCACAATGGGAAACAGGAGCTAGCAGGAGGGATGTGCTAGTCCAAGGCCACTGCGGAGGACAGGGTGAGAGCAGCTGTGAGAAGGCTTCCTCTCCTCACAGTGACCCAACAGGAGGTATGACCCACCTGCAAGACTCACTCAGAACCATGCTGGCATAGGCAGCCTGGCCAGGTAAGGAGCATCCCTCGACACAACTCCTCACGCTCAGCCTCATGCCACTGTTTTCCCAAGTTTCCTCCACACCCATGTTCAAGAAAGCCCCAGGAGCAACTCAATGCAAGGACCAGTCTCAGCCTTCCCCTGCACACCTCATCTGCAGGAGCATCATGCACCCAGGACTGGTGCATGAAGCAAAGGCACAAGGCAGGAAAGGAGCAGCCACTTCAAATCTTCTGCAACACTTTGACCTGGCAGCAAAGGTCGGCAGGGAAAGAGGAACAGCTGAGTGACCCCAGTCGGGTCACTCCAATCCTGCCCTCGGAAGGGGTTCACTGAGCAGTTTTGCTCCTTACCTTCACTTCCTTCTGTTGTTGATGGTGTTGTCTCAGGAGTTGTGTCCTTGTTTGCTGATGAAGTGAAAAAGAGGTGGGAGCACGGATTAGTGTTTTGTGTTGGGAAGCTCAGGTACCTCTGGGGTCAGCAGGCAGGCGTGATAGGAAACTGGTGTGCTAGCAGGAGGGATGCACCTGTCCAAGTCCAGTGTGGAGCACAAGCTGAGGGTAGCCATGGAAAGGATTCCCCTCCTCACGGTGACCCAACAGCATGTATGACCCACCTGCAAGGGTCACTCAGAACCATGCTGGCACAGGCAGCCTGGCCAGGTAGGGAGAATCACTAGGAGGGGATGTTCCATCATCCCCTGACATGGCCGTTCACGCAAGCTTCATACTGGTGTTTTCCTCCATTTCCATGCTCTGTAAAGCCCCAGGAGCAACTCCCTTCAAGGACCAGTCTTGGCCTTGCTCTGCACACCTTGTCTGCAGGTGCCTCTTTGTCCTGGGTTTAGCAGTAGCAGTCATTTTTCTCTTTCTTGGTAGCTGGTGCAGTGCTGTGTTTTGACTTTCGGGCAGGGAACAGAGCTAATAAAAATTATGTTTTATTTTGGACAAGGACTTGGTGAGCCTCATGCTCTGCCAGGGAGGAGGGGAAGCCAGGAGGAAGCAGAGGCAGGACACCTGACCCAAGCTGACCAAAGAGGTATTCCATACCACAGCACATCATACCCAGGATGTAATGGAGAGGGACCCGGAAGGGCTAGGAGACTGCGGGGTTCGAGGAGGTATCGTTCGGTGCTTGCTCAGGCTGGGAGGGGGGTGAGTTATCGGTTGGCTGGTGCTGAGGTGTTGTATTCTCTTCCCTTGTTATTTCCTTTATCATTATTATCATTGGTGGCAGCAGTAGTGATTTGTGTTATACCTTAGTTACTAAACTGCTCTTATCTCAACCCGTGGAAGTTGCGTTCTTTTCGATTCTCCTCTCCGTCCCCCCAGCAGTAGGGGGAAGGCAAGAAGGGGGGGAGTGAGTGAAAAGCTGTCTGGCTGGGTTTAAACCAAGACAATCTTGCACCCGGGACTGGTGCATGAAGCAAAGGCATAAGGCAGGAAAGGAGCAGTCACTTCAAATCTTCTGCAGCACTTTGACCTGGCAGCAAAGGTCAGCAGGGAAAGAAGAACAGCTGGGGAGGATTCGCAGCATTGACCCAGGCACCTTTGTCTCCCCTGGGAGAATAACCTGGGTAAACCCAGACAGGGAAATGTGTTCCTGTCTGTGTGGACTCTATTGATCCCTTGGACTCGCTCACTCCAATCCTGCCCTCGGAAGGGGTTCACTGAGCAGTTTTGCTCCTTACCTTCACTTTCTTCTGTTGTCGATGGTGTTGTCTCAGGAGCTGTAACGCTTCCTGATGAAGAGAAAATGTGATGGAGCGCAGATCAGTGTTTTGTATTGGAAAACTCGGGGGTCACTGTGTGTGCAGCATAAACTCTGAGCTGGGAAGTGGGGAACCTGAACGGGGCTGAGATGCCAATACCCTGGGTAGCCTTGTCCTGCCTTTGGCCTCTCAGTGACTGTGATGCCCACGTAGACTGATGTGTCTCTGGTGCCATCAAAAGCACTGTATTACCCCAGCTCAGCTGCACTTGCTGGACACAGCTGTCTCAGCCATCGGCACATGTGTGTCTCCATGCAGGAAAGCTCCCTTTGCCTGGCCTGCATTGCAGCCTGGAGCCGAGACCAACTGCCAGAGCAGGTTGAGTGGTGCCATCAGGCTGCGGGTATCCAGCAGAGCCTCTCTTCCCCCATGATGTCCTTCTCCCCAGGACCATTTCGGTGAAAGAACAGGAAGCTGTTGCTTACACTCAGCCTCATGCTGGTGTTTTCCTCCATTTCCATGCTCCAAAAAGCCCCAGGAGCAACTCAATGCAAGGACCAGTCTCAGCCTTCCCCTGCGCACTTCATCTGCAGGAGCCTCTTGCACCCAGGACTGGTGCATGAAGCAAAGGCACAAGGCAGGAAAGGAGCAGCCACTTCAAATCTTCTGCAACACTTTGACCTGGCAGCAAAGGTCAGTAGGGAAAGAGGAACAGCTGGGGAGGATTCGCAGCATTGACCCAGGCACCTTTGTCTCCCCTGGGAGAATAACCTGGTTAAACACAGTCAGGGGAATGTGTTCCTGTCTGTGTGGACTCTATTGATCCCTTGGACTCGCTCACTCCAATTGTGCCATAGAAGAGGCTGACAGAGGGTTTTTGCTCCTTACCTTCACTTCCTTCTGTTGTTGATGGTGTCTCAGGAGTTGTGTTGTTGATTCCTGATGAAGTGAAAAAGAGGTGGGAGCACGGATTAGTGTTTTGTGTTGGGAAGCTCAGGTACCTCTGGGGTCAGCAGGCAGGCGTGATAGGAAACTGGTGTGCTAGCAGGAGGGATGCACCTATCTGAGTCCAGTGTGGAGTATAAGCAGAGGGCAGCCATGGAAAGGATTCCCCTCCTCACGGTGACCCAACAGCATGTATGACCAACCTGCAGGGGTCACTCAGAACCATGCTGGCACAGGCAGCCTGGCCAGGTAGGGAGAATCACTAGGAGGGGATGTTCCATCATCCCCTGACATGGCCATTCACGCAAGCTTCATACTGGTGTTTTCCTCCATTTCCATGCTCTGTAAAGCCCCAGGAGCAACTCCCGGCAAGGACCAGTCTCAGCCTTGCTCTGCACACCTCGTCTGCAGGTGCCTCTTGCACCCGGGACTGGTGCATGAAGCAAAGGCACAAGGCAGGAAAGGAGCAGCCACTTCAAAGCTTCTGCAACACTTTGACCTGGCAGCAAAGGTCAGTAGGGAAAGAGGAACAGCTGGGAAGGATTCGCAGCATTGACCCAGGCACCTTTGTCTCCTCTGGGCGAATAACCTGGTTAAACACAGTCAGGGGAATGTGTTCCTGTCTGTGTGGACTCTATTGATCCCTTGGACTGGGTCACTCCAATCCTGCCCTTGGAAGGGGTTCACT